CAACCCATGATTCATCTCAATGTATTTAGATATTTCAGTAAATATTGCAATGGTTCTTCCAATTGTTTGGCAATAACTATACCCTGACCTTGTGGATTATGTTGTCTTCAAAGCTGGAGTTCATTTAATCCTTTATGAAATTAATATATTAATCACTTGAATGCTGAACCTTCACTTTTTACTTACCATTTTTGACTTCAGCCGTGAAGCTTCTTTAGCTGTAGAACAGGCTGCTTCTCTAATGACAAACAATCTCTCCCCATTTCTACTTTCCAGTCTGAGAGTAACAGCTACATGTCCTCACCTGAACTAAACTTGTCATGGGGAGAAAAGGGAAAAAAGAATAAGAAATACTAAAAAATCTTAGCCTGAAACTCCTTTTTGCAGAGGAAGGTGAAGGAAACCTCGCAGACCAAGTTTCTAAGAGTGATCTTTGACATTTGTTTAGTTTGCATCTTTCCATACTTTCACCAAACAAGCTTTCTGTCTCATTGCAATGTAGTTTAAAAAGAATGGAGAAGAAAAGAATTTAAAATTAGTATGTGGCTTCACTGTCTCTGTCTAATTAAAATGTAGATAAAGGACTAACCACTGGATAAACATAAACCATACTCCTCTAGTTCTTGAATTATCCTGTGGTCCAGTCAGGTCATTTCTAGTAATCTGGTTTCCCCATCTACATTTTGATGCCATTTCACCTGGTTGTGTGTGCTTTTGTTGGACATCCAGGGTCTCCCTCTGTCTCCATTCTTACAGCAAATGCTAAATGGTAGAAGATAATCTCATGTTCTCACTTAGACTCTTCTGTTTTGGAGCTTTTAGAAGTGGTAAACACAAAGTCTGGCTTCTGAAATGAAATAATAACAGTATACTCTTCCACAGAAGACTTTTTTTCCTGTGGCTGTGATACCTTATTTATCCTCTCAGATTGTGCCTGCACATGGTGTGCATCTTGTTCACTCTGAGCCCAAACTGAAAAACAGTAATTACGTGGCCTGGATAAAGCATTGTGTTATCGCTACTGACAGTCTTGGAGAGGTGGTAGAGAAAAACTTTTTTTCCAGAAGAAAAATAGGCCCCCTGAAAATCTATATGTTTATTAAGATTTTACTAGTCAGCTAGCATTAAGCACTTGTATTTTGTGTGGGTTTTGCATAGAAAGAAAAACTGTTAAGCATTATCAAAGGCTATTCCTCCTACTGAAATCAAATAAGCTTTATCATTCTGCCACCTACATTGCTTTTAATAAAAATTGTTGTTTAATTGAAGTCATATTGCTACTTCTGTGTAAACTGTTTTGGCTGCTATGGAAATCTACAATAATCCATAAAATCTGTATTTCAGACTGCAGTCTTAAAACTACACTAACAGTTACCTAATCTGATGTTTGTACATTCACTATTGCTCACTGTTGGACAGCATCAGCTCTTGAAAAAGATGTTAAAAATGTATTATAGTCTTTTGCAGATGATCAGCTGATATGTCAACAGTTGGGGAGTTCAGTAAATCAGTCCAGAGAAGCAAGCCAGGTTAATGCAAGGATTTTAAATACTTTGGTAGCCAGTGAAAACTGAGCCAGAACTGGGTTACAGTACGATCACGTCAGCAGCTTCTCCAGAGTCCTGAGGATTTTGTAACAAACAGCAGCATGACTGAAGTACAATTAGGGCACTTGCCTGTCCTCAGACTGGTCCAAACAGCATCTATACTCATAACGCAGAGACACAGCCTTCTACCTAGTGATGGGAAGGAATATTCTGAGGGTTCAGGCAGAAATTAACTTTCCTCTGTAAAGTTTATATGAATATCATAGCACTTCTATGCTAAAAAAACCCCAACAAAACCCCCAACAAAACCAAACCACACATTTCTAGACTAAAATCTGATTTTTCCATTGCAAAAATTTATGGCTAGGTATTCTAGCTTAATGTATTTTCAGGGATATCACTTCTTAAATACAGGGATTAATGATTCCTTCTCAATAAACATTAATACATTTTTGAAAAATAATTTAAATTAATAAATTCCTTCTTAATAAACATGTGTGGCAGCCCATCGCATTCTGCAACATGCAGACAGGTGGACACTGGTAAGTAGAGGCAGCTTCTTGGCTCCTGACAAGCATTGTGGAAGAAGCACTAGGTGGCAGGACACTGGAGATAAAGGTTAAAAGGAAGAGACTGGATTGGAGGAAAATGCAAAAGCATGTGACAGGACATGCAAATGATGGCCGAGAGGCAGCCTGGCAGTGCAAGAAGCAGTCAGCTGGGAGAGACTCAAGAACCAGTCAAAGCACAAACCCCAGCACCCCCGGCACCTCTGGGTATCACAGGTTCAGCTCCTTGCCAGCTCTATGTTTCTCTCCAAGGCCAGTGCTACTAACAGCAGTCACGGCTGGTGCACAGGGGTTGAATCTGTCAGCTGTTTTCCAACATTGGAGTGTTAGACTAACTTGCCCACCCTGAATTTTAAGCAGGAGCTTCTGACTCCAACTCCACCACTGCGTAAATTTCTCAATAAATAGTTTTAATTCATAAACTTGCCAAAATAATGATTTGCAAAGACAGAGGCAGTTTTCTCTACTTACTAATCTGCATGTTGCAAATCACTTCTAGCTGCTGTTATTAAAAAATCCAGCTCGACTGATGAAAGTTCATGTTTCACACCTTTTTTTGGCAACACAGGAACAAGCTATAATTTTACTTATTGAACCCAAACTTTGTTGTAATTTTGTCATTCAGAATGCTTTGCAGTAAATTAATCATCAGAATAATTACAGGCCTGCTTTGTTTCAAATCAATCTAAGGAGTTATCAGAGGCTTTTTCAAGTGGCTTTTTTTTCCAGAGCACACAGTAGAGTCTGATGACTGAAGAAATATTTACTAATAATATTTTTTAAAGCGTTTGTTTCCACCTCTCAGAATAAAACCAAACTCCTGTCACATTTTCACGAGGACTCCATGCCCCAGCAAGTAGCACAAAACTCCTTTTCCCTTGTATCTCCATGAAGGACTTTAGTGTGGAAAATAATGAACAGGATGTCTTCAGCTCTGTCAATAACTAGCATCTCCCTCAGCACCAGGTAACGCTGCTCAGATCCATCTCATAAACCTTGCTGGAAATTACAGGAGAAGGAGGAGAAGCACATTCCCATGGAGAAGTAAAAGGAAAGACCAATGCAAATGCCAGCTGAGCCACCTGCTCAGCACTTCCTGTGATTCCTAATCCAGCCCATGTCAGTCCAGGCAGTTTTACAACAGATTTTTGCCAGCTGTGTGCTAGTGGTTTGATAGCAAAAAGTGCCACAGTGATTTTCATATTGTCAGTGCACCGGTTGCTACTGACAGGAGGAAAGATATTGCCACCTGGATGTCTTTCTTGCTCAAGAGAACAAGCACAAGCACTTTCTGCTTCTCCAGTTTCAAGACTCTGACATGGCAAATTTTTCTTTTTCTCCCCTTTTCTTCTATTCTTTTATATAAGCCTTATTTATTACAGGATTTTTCAGGATTACTAAAGGCAATTGTATTTTGTGATAGTCATATTCCATGTCGCAATGTACTGTAATGCAAATAAATATGTAACTGAGCATTTTAAAACATGAAACCACAAGAAAAATTTTAATTGCAACAGAAAGACTTCTGCCTGCCAACACACTGTATTTGTGTAATGTTGATTTCTCTTCCCATAGTAGAGAAATGCCACATCCATATTTAAAATCTGAAGTATTGACAAAATCTTCTGAGTGCATAAAGCTGTTTTGGCAAAATACGAGTGTCTGCCTTGCTGCAGCTAAGAAAATGAAACAGCTCATCAATTTACCAAAAATCTGCCTACAGACAACGCATTCTCCAGCCTTTGGGAAACCTGATGCTTTTCTCATGCAGGAAGAAATCCTCACCATGCTGAACTCAGTGAGAAACCTCTACTGACTTCAATAGGGCCAACTGCTAAGAGACTGACGGCTATTATTATGCTTTAAAATTAAGCTTATGCACATGCATTCACAAATAGGAACAGTAACAGAAGAAAGGTTTAATGCAACAGTTAAAAGGGAAGTGAGAAATCCCGAAAGAATATGCCACAGTTCAAGATTAATCTGTTACTCACAAAAAAAATTGTCATTTTCATACAAGGTCAAACCTTTAAAAATTGTTTTCCTTAGTATATAAAAATCTCACATTTCTTCAGCTGTCACAGAGCACTGTCAGAAATGGAGACAGAATCTGCTGATTGAATTAACGTGTGGTTTCTCGGAGACTGAACCAGTATTTATTTTGGAATTACTCCTAATTATCAATGACCTACTTAAAAGCTTAGGCGAACCTTTGGCCTCATAGCATATCTATAATCTCTCACAGTATAAAAACAAACAGTTTCTGATATCTGTAATTACTTACCAAAATAAAGGACTTATTTTTTTTATGGAAGTTTTGTTTGTAAATGTTTTATTAAAAAAAATCTTTTAATGCTATTAGTCAATACACATGTAATAATACTTTAATAAAGTATGTAGTAGTAGTAGGTATTTTGGATTCAGGAATGTAATGGTTTTAACTAAATCAGAGCTCTGTTCCGCTCCAGTCTCTTCTAAATTGTCCTTTTTTTCCCAGAATTTAAACAAACTCATTCTTTGTCAAGGTACATCATCCTTAAGGCCTTGCAAACTTTTTAGTGATTGAACCAAAACAAAGAGAGCTCAGCTTTCTTTCTGAAGACCACGTTGCTTTTGAGCTTAAAAAGGTGCCTGCAGTTTTCAAGCAATTAGTGGCAAATCAGCAAGAAAGAAATCAGAGGAGAAGAAGGGGCACTTGGAAATAAAAACAGTAAAGTGCACAGCTATACTGTCTGAAACTGTATTAATCTGATCCAAAGAACTTGCTGGACTGTGGGTATTTAATACGATTTGGCTTGCATGAAACATACAATCACGATCAGACAGAAAGGATTTTCCTTTTTCTTCCTGAAGTCATCTATAGGAGTTATGGAATTCAATTTTCAAGGGTAACATAGTGCAGCTCTTTGGATATTGATTGTTTTCCTAAGACCACAAGGAGATGAAGAAGGAGGGGAAGGTGTGGAGGATGCAAGGCGTCCTCGTGCCTTCTCTGTTTTATTTAGATGCCAGTACTCTCCAGTTCTGCATCCTGCAGCCCTAATGCAGCGTGTGACCTAGAAATCATGAAGAGTTTCTCTTTATTTGTGTACTGTCTCTGAGTTTGCTGAGATTGCTCCCCTGTTTGTTCTCTGCTGGTAGCCTTGAGGGGGTCTATCTTCTCAACTGGCTCCTCCTCAGAGTCCTGAATTTTACTGGCTGCGGTGTTGGCAACTGACTCCAAGGAGGTGCCTGCCTCCTCCAGGTGGCTGTAGCCCTTATTGCTTCTTGAAGGCTCAGACTCAGAGCTCTGGGAGTCCGTCCTGGTGATGATAGGAGGGGCTGAGGGGGGTGACACCCCCATATCCAGAGATCCGGAGTAGCTAGATGTCTTTCCCAAGAGGCTGGAGTCCAGGACCCTGCTGACAGCTGGTGACTGAGGTGGCTCAGAGAAAAGGGGACGCCTGGCATCGGGCAAGCAGCTGGTGCTCTGCCGCCTGAAAACCAGCTTGTGTCTCCTTGTCCCACAGCCTACCCAGCTTGTGTCTCCTTGTCCCCCAGCCTCCCTCGACATGGCTGCCGCTGAGGTCAGTTAGGCTCAGTTCAAACTCCCCCCGTGGGATCTCCTGGGCTCCTCGCTCACCAGGTGGTCTCCGCCAGCCTCCCCCTCCACTGCTCGGCCCCAGGGGCAGGAGGGCAAAAGCACTCAGTGAAGAGCCAACGATGGAACTGGCTGTGCTGCACCGGTCGCAGCTCTCAGGAGGGCTGCAGGGTGGGCTGGTGACAGTGTGGCCAGCGAGGACACCACGCTCCCGGCAGACGCTGTACACTGCCTCAGCCAGGCTGGGTGGCTGTGGTGGAGCGCAGAAGGAGGAACGCCGCGGTGAGGACGCCAGATCTGGTGGGGAAAGGGAGACACCCAGTCCTGGTGGCCAGGAGCTCTTGGCCAGCATGGCTGCAGCACCCAGGCCTTCACCTCCAGGCTTTAGCTCCAGGCCCCGGGACTGCACGTAGTTGACGAAGCCATTGAGAGGAGCTGAGCCTGGGGTGCCTCCATCCTTGGCCCGCAGGCTGTGGGCATCGATGACAGTGGAGTAGAGGTCACGTAGGTTGATGATCTTGGTCTTCTTATCGCGGTTCTCGTGCAATACCGCATTGGCGCAGATGAAGAGGAAGATACCGATACCCATGATGAGAGGGCCCAGCACCTTCAGCTTGTCTGAATGCAAGTAGCTCGAGAAAAGACGGAAAAGGACACCCATTGAGGCCTGGGGGGATGAGGAAGAAGGCGGGGACTGTGGGGACCCACCGGTGGTAGTAGTGGTGGAGGTATTGGCTCTGGAGGGTGACTCTGGATGGATCCCTGCTTGCACCCCTTCCTGGCTCCAGGAGCGGTTCTTGGGGGTGCCACCCTGCGGTGCTAGGTGCCGACCACCGCTGAGGTTGCCTTCTCTGTACACCTGGCTAGGCTTTGGCCAGTAGCCCACCACAGCTAAGGTGATGCCCACCAGCAGTACCAGGATGCCACAGAGGGCAATGAACCCCGAGAGGGAGCACAGCTTGAGCTTGCCTTTCACCACCACCACGTCATTCTTGCGCTTCTTTCTGGACTTGCGCTTGCGTTTGGGGACTTGGCCTTGGGGTCGCAAGGGGTCCTGTTTCCTAGCCGAGATCCTCAGGAGGCCTCCAGTGGCGATCATGGCTGGCTACCAGTGCACTGCCCCCTACGGCCACTCCAGCTCCTGCAGCGAAAGAGAGAAGAGAAAAGGATGAGGACCGGGGACAGACCTGCAGCACAAGAGATGTCTCTGTTGTTCCTCCTTCGAAGTCCTGCTAATTAAAACCCTGAACAAGTGGAACAGGGGGTGACACCAACAGATCCTGTGTGTGAGAAAGACAGAGGCAGACTTACAGCATCAAAGCAGCCATGCGCCCTACTGCACTTTTGCCAAACAGCTAATCAATTTCTCTACACTCCAGGTAAATGATAGGGCTAGGGGCATCTGCTAGTGTAAGCAAAAAAATTATCTCACTGGTCTCTGAAGGAATTTGCAAAGCACCAGAGCTCAGGGGATGCAGAGCCCTGCTCCCTAATAGGCTCTGGGGTTACACTGCACACTGACTGTGGTTAATGATGTCATGACGGATTTGAGGGGATGGGGGAAATAAAAGCAGGAAGGCAGTATATTCGATCAACAGATAACATTTGTTTCATTACACTACTTACTGGAGGGAGGGTTAAACATATTACTTGCCTTGCCTAAATGAGTGGGAAAGGAATTACTGTGAAATGCACAAGGGAAACATTTGAACACTGGAAAGTGATGCCCTGCGAAAGTTTTTTCTTAGCCCTTTGCACTTGATCTGCAATATTCCAGAAATTTATCTCCTGCCTGCGATCCAGAGGCATCCCTAGTTTGGGAACACGTATGATGCTTCAGGTATCAGTTATGTAACACCGACGAATTCACCATCCTCCCACCCTCCCCCACCCTCCGACAGGGGAGACAGTGGCTGTCAGGTAGGAGACAGGTCAAATCCTATTAAAGGAGGAATCAACCCTTGCAAGTCACCCGGGGAAACCGTAAGGAGTGCTTGCAGGGAAACTGGCAGGCAACTAAACACTGAGCATTTGCAGCTTTTGTCTTACTGGACTATCAGAACTCATCTCTCTGTTCCAATGATTTGAGCTAAAAAGCACAGCGTGTAGGAACAATTCCTGTGCTGTTGCAATTCTTTTCGGAATCTATTTCTTCGTGCTACCAAGGAGCAGGATCTCCTCCCCCTTTTCTCTTTCTCAGCGTCCTATTATTTTTCCTTTGAGGGGGTAAAAGATGACAGCAGCGAATATAATACGACTCACAAAGTTCCATTAATTGCACTGAAAGACGATTAAGTAAGCTCCTAAAAAAAAATTACCTTGCTCTCCCTTCCGCTGTTCAGCCTTTAAATCTCATCTCTGTTCTATTTGCCAGATTTGCCACATATGCAGTAATATCGTGTCCCATTTACTCCGTATTTTCCCCGGAAAAAAAAGAAGGGTGTTGTCAGCAAGGATGTTGTTAAATTACTCTCTGAGGTACTGCACGCTCAAAACAAAGAGCTGAGATTTCTCTTTCCTATCGCTGAACTATTTTGAAACGCAAAAAAAAAAAAAAAAAAAAAAACCAAAACAAAAAATCAACAAAAGAAAGCATTTTGTTGATGCAAAAGTGTAATTATCGGGACATGCTTTGCTTTAATTGCCGATTCCTTGCTCTCATTTTCTGCTGCCACACTAGCCAGCTGCCCGTCTCCTCCGCC